TTTAGTAGTTAGTGTTTTGAGTGTTCCTTTAATTGTATTGTTGTGCTAACTGAATGCAACAAAGGGTTCCGATTTATATTGTATAATAGGTTTCCTTTTTATCAACCATTATTTAACACCACACATTATAAAAGGAACATTTCTGGTTGCTACACATCATTTATTTAAAAAAAATTTTTTTTTTTTTTTACAGGTTTGGAAAAGATTGAACAACTTCAAAGTCATGAGAATGAGGATATCTACAAACTGGCTTTTGAAATAATTGATCAGTTTTTCTCATCAGATGAAGTAAGTTTAACAGTTGTGGAAATAGACCACATTTTTTAGTTTTGTCTGAACAAAGTTATTTGAAAATGACCAGGCTATTTTAATGTTGCTTGATGTGCATTTATATCGGTTTCTTCCTTTCATTGTAGATTGATGAAGATTCTAGCCTTGTCCCAGAAGCAATACAAGGCAGCACATTCACTTTCAATTCATCTGCCAACGTACCAGCGGAAGGTTTCCAGTTTTAGGAAGAATAGTTGGAAGTTAGGTACAGTGCAGCATTGAAAACTGGTTTGACCCATCAAGCTTGGCTCATGGGATCTGCTGCTGCATTAAATCGGAGAAAGAAATGTGCGGACTTCATTTGGATGACAGTACAGACCAAGTGAAGTCAAGATGGCGAGTGGGTGCGAGTGAGAATGAGTGGCATATGTAATGAATACTTCACTCCGAATGCTTATATAGGTTGTGCAGAAAGGGCTACAGGTCAAAGATCTTCAGTGCCTGAGATGGAACATTGATCTACTAGAGGAAATGCAGTACTATCATCACCAAGCCTTGTAAGCATAAAAGAAACCTGTGGGTAGGATGCCCACATAAGTCAAAGGAGAAAAAGCCCAGGCCTTGCTAAGAAGCTCCGTATGAATGGACAGCATTGAATGAATGTCTGGACACCGCGCTGTGGGGCCAGGCTCATTTTTCGAACGTGAGGTTGTTCCCTCATGAAGCAGACTCCCAGTCCAGGAGTGGCGTGTGTACGAGAGTATGGGTGTGGTGCTGTATGTGAACGCATGCAAGCTTGAATCGCCTACAGGGGGTTGATACTAAACCTAGAAAATCACAATACGTTCATAAGTGTTACCTTACACTGGACATGAAAACAGACCGGTTTAGCAGCAGATTTTGGTTTAGTCCTGCAGCCTGTGTGCTTTCTTTTACTTTCTTTTTGGTTTTGGTATTTTTTATTTCATTTTTTTATTGCAAGTTTCTTTTTCCTTTTAATTTCTAACCCTGCTTGTGTAACTTTTTTTCTTTTAAGTTGCTTGTAAGAATAAGGAAGTTAAAGAAGGTATCCCTGTGCATTTGCACCAGATGAATGTTTGATGTTATGCAAACTGTTCCATATCATCAAAGCTGATTTGTATTAAAAAAGAGAAATTCTGCATGAAAAATCAGGATTATCCCTAAACAAATGGACTTTTTTTTTTTTCCCTTTCCAAGAGATGCCATAAAGGGTGAAAAGATTTCAGAAAGTGGTTTTAAAAAAAAGAAAAAAATTCAATAAATCTAAGTCTAACCTTTTTGTTTTCAAAGATAACATGACTATATCTGCATGTTGTAATTGCCAGCATAGGTTAATTTTTAGATGCATTTTGTTTGGTCCTGTACAATGTTTCATTTGTGGTAGAAACTGTGCTGTGTTTCAATCCTATTTGTTTTCAAACATTGTTTTCTATGAAAATGATATGGAAACTTTTGAAATTTAAATTTGGTGCATATGTACGGCTAAGCTCAGATCAATAGAAGGTGTAACTAGATGTACAATTCATGGATTCAGCATTTTCTTAACAGTTTGGGTGCCAGAAGGCTGAGCAGTCTATTGCTTTGCTTTTGCATTGCATTGTCTGCTGGCACACGGTTGGTTAACATGTATAGGCAGTTCCATTGTTTTAGAATCCTTTTCAGCTTAGATGTAGGCAGCCATGAACAATCTCTATTTTGAGCCACTTTAGGGAGAACTTTTTTTTTTTTTTCTGGTTTCTTTTTATAAACCTTGCATTCATTGCATGCAAGGGCTTTTTTTAAATTAGAAGACTGCCTCTATCTGAGGTAACGCACACTAAATTAAAAGTAACATTGCTTAATTTGTATAAATAAGAACTCTTTTATAAGGTGGCTCATTGTAGGAAATGCTGTGCCTTCCCTTTGAGCACAAGTGTTGCATGAACGACAGTTTGCTATTCTAAAGACATGGCATATGCCACCATTAGCTTCAATATCTACTTTTTTTGTGTTTAAAGTTAACTGGTGATTCTGAAACACTGTAGAATGGATAAAGATTATTTTGTGATCCTATTTCTTTGTTGAATTAGAGTATTTTTGCAGCATTCCTTGTCATCTGAAACATGGTAAAAGTTTAAAACTAGAAACGACATATAACTAGCTTGTAAGATTATTAATGTAGAATGCAAGCTAGGCTGTTGTGGGGAAATAAAGCGTAAACTTTAAGACAAGATTTTTTTTTTTTGCTTTATTTTATTTTCTATTCTCACTTCTGTCTGGTGCCTGTAACTATGTACACCTCACATACACTGCATTTAACCTGAGTACGAAATAAGGTTTAAAAACCTTATGACTTGCAAAATGTGTGGATGAAACTTATTTTGGAGATGGTTCTTCTTGCCCCATGGTTTAATAGTGCAATTTCTGGCACAATACATGTAACTGGAAAGATGTTGCCATGCTACAATGTGCATTGTTGTGCTTGTAGCATAGTCCTGACATTTTTGTCTATGCAAACAGATTAAATATTAAAAGTATTTCACATAAATTTACTTATGGACTATAAGAATACATTTAGTTAACTGGTACTATATGTACTGTATCTATCACAGAGAAAATATTAGTCAAATACCTGCTGCTACTTCCAGCGAGTTGTGAGTGTCCATGTAGCATTTATCTGGTATAACAAAGGTGTAGTTCTGCTTTTTCTCTTTTCCTTTCTCATTTTACGTTTTCACAGGATACGACTCGTTTATTTCCTTTTGGGAAAAAGTTTTCACTAAAATAACCTACACCTATTGTATGTATATACTGATGTGTATAGCCTTACCTGCTTAATTGCAAATCACACCTGCTGAATGCAAACTGTGAAGCCATGAGTTTTGTTAGAGTACACAGATAACAAACTTAAAGTAGTTTTGTCAGCAAAACGTGCCTTTCTATATTTTTACTTTTCTCTTTAAACATCTGTTTATTTTCTTTCTGATCAAGTTCTGTTTTAACTATGACAAAGTAGGGACTACTTTGTCTTGTGTATTTTTCCTACGCCTGACAAATGTGACGAAAGGGTGGGTCTTAAAGGAACACTTTAGGGTCAGGAACACAAACATGTATTCCTGACCCTATAGGGTTTAACCAACCAACATCCCTATAAAAGTTTAAACGCTCCTTATTTCCTGCGCTGGCTCCACCTCCATTGTGACATCACCATGGGGAAAGCATTGGATTGGCTAAAATCTGCATGGGGCCAAGCCAAATGCCGTTATGGCCAATCAGGACCTCCTCATAGAGATGCATTTCTCCATGCAGAGCACTAGAGGCAATTTAAACACTGCCTTTACTCTGAAAAGGCAGTGGTTTACATGAAAAAAGCCTTAAGGGAACGATTATACTCACCAGAACTACATTAACTCCTTAAGGACTGAGCCAAATGTTATGAACAAAACGTAAACAAAATCTGGAATTTGACTCTCTTCAACCATAATTCACCTCTTTCATATTAAGTGCTCCCACACTTTTTATTCAGAGGAAACAGGGCTTTCATTTAACATCAAATATTTAGCTATGAATAAAATATTTAAAAATGGTAAGCAAGACATTTTATTTAAAAAAATTTTAGTTCTAGAAGACATTTTTAACTGTGAATGTCATAATACAGTTTCCTTTTACTGCAATAAAATACACATTTGTATTCAGCAATGTCTCACATGTAAAACAGTACCCCCTATGTACAGGTTTTATGGTGTTTTGGGAAGTTACAGGGTCAATTTTTTTATTTTATTTTTATTTTTTATTTTTTTTTTTTACATTGAAATTCTCCTGATTGGTTACGTTGCCTTTGAGACCATATGGTAGCCCAGGAATGAGAATTACCCTCATGATGGCATACCATTTGCAATAGTAGACAACCCAAGGTATTGCAAGTGTGGTATGCCCAGTCTTTTTAGTAGCCACTTGGTCACAAACACTGGCCAAAGTTAGTGTTTTTGTGTAAAACATGCAAAAAACTAATTTGAACGCCAATTTTGGCCAGTGTTTGTGACGAAGTGGCTACTAAAAAAGACAGGACATACCCCATTTGCAGTACCTTGGGAATACCTTTAGGGGTACTGTTATACTCGGGAGACTTCGCTGAACACAAATATTGGTGTTTCAAAACAGTAAAACGTATCACAATTATATCGTCCATGTGCCATTTGTGTGTGTAAAATGCAAAATATGGCACTTTCACTGACAATATTTTTGTATTTACATTTTACTGTTTTGAAACACTAATATCTGTGTTCAGCGAAGTCTACCGAGTAATATAGTGCTAGCAAATTAAATTCTCTGGGCTTTCGACCTGGGTTGTCAGGCAGGTCCTGCAAATTGTAATTAATAAAATGACCTAATTATGTAAAATTTTTACATAAATATATACGTAGAATATTATATATGTATTTTATTTGTGTATATATTGATATATATACTTTTATATATAGATATATTATTTCGTTCTACGTGTATTTTGAGATCAATAGACCAAAATTACACATTTATTTATTTTTGTTTTAACGTATTTACATATTTCTTTTCTATAAATATATATTCAATATCTATCTACATGTATTTTGATATTTATATATATTAATACACTTAGTGTGTGTGTGTGTGTGTGTGTGTATATGTGTATATATATATATATATATATATATATATATATATATATATATGTATTATATATGTATAATGTATAATTTTATTTTAAACTATTTTTACCTATTTTTTTTTTACAGGCAGCAGGGGAGCACTCCCCCTGCTGGCACTGCTGTGGACAGCTATGCTATCACATGGACAGCTATGCTGTCCATGTGATCGTGAGGTCCTCAAAAGAACCTTGTGATCACATGGCCCAGGAGGGCCGGAACGGCAGCAGAGGGACTCCCTGGGATGCCAGGCGAGTCCCCCACAGTGATTGCTGGCGACTGAGTAAATAGGCTTGCAGGTTTTTTTTTTTTTTTAGAGCCGGGTCCCCAAGGACGGCATAGCACGCCCGCCCTCCTTAAGGGGTTAAGCTGTAGTTGTTCTGGTGACTATAGTGTCCCTTTAAGGCAAGCTCCACTTCCTCTGTCAAGCTAACAATGGGCGAAGCTTGCCTCAAGCTCCACCGTTTGTCAAGATTGCCAAATGTAGGAAAAATACATGAGATAAAGTAGTCCCTATTTTGTCTTATGTCTTTAGAAATTAAGTAAAAACAGATTCTGAAAGAGAGAGGGTAAGTAGAAGAAAGGCAAGTATGAGATGACAGACCCTTCAGGATGTATGCAGCAGGAAAGCCAAAACCTTAATAAACTACTTACAAAATCATTGTCAACACATTTGAAAATGTAGCATTGTAGCGCATATCCTCACTTTTATTTTTTCCTTCATTGAATATTACGTGGATTGATAAGTAAATCCCCTGTAGCGTGTAAAAGTATGCCTTGCTTCCTAAAACATCTCCATTAAACACTCTCTCCAGCTCACACTGGTGTGTGCTTTATTGCATAGCAGTTTAACATGTTAATGAGGTTCAGACATCTTGTATTAAATTTTGATTCATAAATAGATCTACATATTTCAAACTTTCAAGTTTTTCCTTCAAGATGTAAAAGGTACAAGTCTTTAGCGTGTTGTTAAATTTTGCCATTAGTGGATTAAATGCTCCTTTAGTGTGTTACCCCAATTTATTCACTGTATTGCAAAACCGTTTAGACCCAATATTGAGGGTCAGGCATTTAAATGTTCCGGATTTCTTTTTTTGAATTTCTATTTTAAAACTAACCTAAATACAATTTGTGGCTGGCATTCTTTGGAACGGTTATAAGGCAGTTAGCCAATGCACAGATGCAATGTATTTTTAAAGATATTGATTAAACAATAGTAAATGAACAGTATTCACTTCTTCAGACGTGGCTAATAGCATTTTTCAGTGTGAGAAATAAAAGGAATCTAAACACAAGCAATAAAGTAAATAGTAAATGTCCATATTGCATAACTTTTTTTCAATAATTTATACTATGATTAAAGGGACACTATAGTCAGCAAAACAACTTTCGCTTAATGAAGCAGTATTGTTGCTTAGATCATGCCCCTGCAGCCTCACTGCTCAATTCTGAATTCTGTCACTTGGGAGTTGTCACTTTCTATATGCAGCCATAGGCACACCTCCCTGCATGTGACTTCCTAACCACTTCCTATAAAGAGTCATCTAATGTTTACACTTCCTTTATTGGAAATTCTGTTTAATTTAACATATCTTCTGCTCTGTTTCCTAGACCCTACAGGAGTTTCCTGTGTGTGATTAAAGTAAAATTTACAAAGCAGGAGATAAAAAAAAACTTTTAAGCGTAACTTACATCTGATTGAAAATTAAACCATTTTTTTTTTTCCTGCATTGTGGCTAGGACTGCATAAACAGAAATTAAAGTGATTTAACTCCTAAATGGCATATTATTGAGCAGTAAAACGTCAGAGGCATTATCTATACACAATATTTCTTTAAGCTAAAGTTGTTTTTGTGACTATAGGTTCCCTTTAACGTACACTTTTTATTTATTTTTAATCTGTTCTACTCATGTATTTTTTTTTAATTTTTTTTTTTAAATACATGTCAGATTCTGGTAGGAGACTAATGTGCTTTAACTGTAAGGCAAGCTGCATTACAAAGATATTTGCGCTATATATTTGCGCTATATAAATATATATTCATCTATATCTTAGCAATATAATAATTTCTTCTTTTACGGGTAGTAAAACAGCAAGTTGATGATTTCAGACCTCACTACACTGGTTTCTAGCAGTTCTGAAATAGGTCTCTTTTGATATGCCATTTCATTATAAATAATAAGGTTTGGGATTTTTCCCCTGTTTAAAATAATTACCGTCAACATTTTGAAAATAAAATCATTTTCATGCAACAGTTTCCTGTCAAGTAGTGTTTTGGTTTTTTGGGTCTATCATTTTGAGAGCAAGAGGGTGTTCAAGCGGTGATTTTTTTTTTTCTTTTTTCTTTTTTTTTTTTTAATGGTGGCACTTCAGATATTATGGACTAAATTTCTTGTGATGTGTATATAAGAAATGTAGCACACATGTTTGTGTTGCAAGGTTAGCCTTTACTGCCTTAAAGCAGCTCTGATCTAATAAGATCATATTTTGCAGAGCCTCCCTGATTGTGACATCACAGCTTGTTTTGCATTGGCCCAGGAGTACAACACAGGTGAGTTATACTTACCTGATGCTGTCCCCATGGGTGGTGCCATTTTTTTTTTTTTTTCTTGAGCTAATGCCAGGAGCCCAGTCACTGCTGTAATTTCACATGAGCAAGAGTGCTACACTGATGTCTATGGAGGAGACCGCGGGGGCCTCCATAAATTGCATATCTAAGTAAAGATGTCTGTCTTCAGCGGTTAGCGATAACTGGGGGAAGTAATAAAACGTGACTGTAGCTCCACCTATTGGCAATTTTTGTCAATTTACGGATTAACCATTAGACAAACTATTCTTTATTATGCTTTATGTCTCAATAATTCTAAGTCTTTTTGAGCTACTCATAAATATTGTACATTAATGGAATGCTCAATTTTTGGGGAGGCGAGTTATAGAGAGATGGTGCTATATTCTGGTCTTTATGGAATAAAGAAAATGGTGACAATTTCAGGAGACTTTCTAATTAAATGGATATATTTAATGTTTTTATGTATCTTAAAAAAAAAAAAAAGGTTGAAACACAACCGGTCACCATCAATTCAACATGAATCAGAAATCTGGCTCCAGCAATATTGAATAAAGATTTGATTGTTGGGCTCTTCACCTTTTTTTTTTCCCCTCCCCCCTTCCCTGCATGACTTTACAAGGATTGTGAGATTTCCTGATATTTATCTTTCATTGAGTTTTGATGCTATCACTGCGTACCCTTTCAGGATAACAGTGATATTAATTCTGCCATGCAGGCTAGTTTCCGCTTTCCCCTTATGACCTTTCCATCTGCAAATCATACCATCACACTCTTAAACATAACTCCTCTGCCCTTTCCAGACACATTGTACAACTAAAATATTTGTAAATGCTGTTAACTTATCTTGACTGCAACATGCTCCTTACTAGTTTGACTCGAGCTTGGATCACCATCCATAAGGAATATTGCTTGTAGACATTTCTACTTAATCTACCTACTTTTCCTGTACCTCATCTGTCTGCAACATATACAGTTGTAATCAAATTTTTTTTCATCCCCCATTGAAAATCAGGTTTGTTGTCAAAATTTAGACAATTGCTATTTGCAATTAACAAATCAAAGCAAATAAAATAGCTCAACACAACAAATGTTTCAAGTGGTTTCCCCAAGTGCAACCTCTAATGACTTAGTCTCAAAATGTTTTAACCCCTTCATGTCAAGCATCTTTAGTACTTGGAACACTTTTACTCTTATGACATGCATAGCCACACACCAACTTCTGGCAGTGTTCCTGAGAGTCTTGGCTCATTGCTTATGAGCTGTGGCTTGCAGTTCAGTAATATTCTTGGGTTTGCATGCTGCAACTGCCGCCTTCAAATCCCAACAAAGATTTTCTATGGTGTTCAAGTCAGGTGACTTTTTTTTTTTTTTATTCTTGTTTGCAATTAAGCATTGGTGGAATTTGAGGTATAATTGGTATCCTTGTCTTTTTAGAAGGTCCAATGACTCCCAAGCTTCAGCTTTCTCAGTTGGCATGACTTTTTCTCCTAGGATTTTCAGATACTTCAATAAATCCATCTTGCCTTCCATATGATGCAGCTGAACTGTAGGCAGTGTGTACTTTTTCAGCATAAACTTCATTCTTATTGCTCCAGGCATACGGCTGATCCATGGGGCCAAAAAGTTCCGGCTTTGTTTCATTGCTCCCCAGGACAGAATCCCAAAACTTCATAAAAAAAATTTGGTTGGGGACTTCTGAAATTCAGGACTTCAGCAATTCCCTAGCCCTACTAGGGGGTTGGGTTAGATTCCTGTCATCATTCCCTTAATTTTTCCTCCCTCTCCTGTTTTGCCACTTTTAAGAAATCCAAAGCATTTCGCCACTTACGAAATTCGGGACTTCAGCA